TCGTAGGACTATGTCCCACCTAACACTCCCAAACACTAAAGCACATGGGGAACTTAAATGACTACTCTTCAACAAGAGTCTGCAAATATACATGGGTGGTGCGCATATACTGGGCACTGAGAATGTCCCTGCTCTCAACAAACTCAAGGTCAAGTTGGACACACAGACGTGCAGCATATAATTACAAGACAACATGACATCGACCAATAGAAGCCTGTACAAAGTTCAAGGAAAACAGAAACGGGATGCATTCTTTGAAGACAGAATAGAAAATCTATGAGTTTTCAGGGTGAATACATGAAAAACAACTCTAGGGGGATACTTCGATTTTATTTTCGGTTTTCTTTTTATTTGAGTACAGTTGATTTACACTGTTGTGTCGTTTTGTTTGTTTTTTGATGTGGTCGTCTTCTGCTACAAACAGAAGTGAGGGCTGAGGAGCGAGTTGAGTGTAGCTGTAAAAAGAAAATACATTCTTTTGCCCCTCCATTTGTACAGTCCAAATTGTGCTTCACATCTGTTACGTATGGTGTGTGTTTTCTTTCCCAATGTTTCACTTGCTTTTATCATGCAAAATATAATTAATTTTCTCGTAATTAAGTTTCCCAGTTCTTATTCAGGGTTTCACGTTTTGGTTGGGAAAGTCTTCCCCACTTCAGAAGCTCTTAAACATACTCATGGACATCCCATTTTAAAAGCGAATCCTCTCTGGATCTCACTTTCCTGTCTCTTTTCCTCCCTGTAACTCCTCATTTTTATAGGCAATGTTCTTGAGAAGTCATCAGTACTCTTTTTCTCCATATCTGCATCTCTTCCTCCTCACTGCACCCCAATCTGGCTTCTGTTCCTGTCCCCCAAAGAAAACTGGTTCTGTAGGCTCCCCAAAGACCACCATGCTGCTCAACACAGCCTTCTTCTTACTTGATCCCTCTCTCCGTGGAAACTCTTCCCTGCCCCGTCCTACCACAGTCTCCTAGGTTCCCTCTTCTGTCCTAGCCCTTCCTTCTCAGTTTCTCTTATGGGCTCATCTGCTTTATCCCACACTTTTCTTGCTAGAGTTCTTCAAGGTACAATAAAGACTAAATGATTAACCAAGTTCCCTTCAATCATCCGATTCAGCGTTTATCGTATGCTTAGGTTGTGCCAGCCTTAGTGCTCAGTTACGGTAGTGGACACAAAGTTGAATTACGCTTAGTCCAGTCCTTGAGAAATGTATCCGCCAGCTGGGAAGACAGGCAAGGATGCACATAGTGTGCTAATGGCACAAAACCCGTCTACTGAGTCCTCCAATTATTCCGTGGTAACTTTCCTTCCTCTCCGCTTTCTCCCACTATGTCCAGCAGGGGGCAGCCTCACCACTTGTTACCCATCACGTGCGTTCCTGTCAGTTCTCTTCCCTGGAACCCTGACATTCTTCTAGAGCAACCAGCTGAAATCCAACCAGCTTTAAAATTACATTTTCCCCCATCCTTTAGTAAAATGTAGTCTGGAGAGGCTCTGGTTCCTATTGCTCCTGGGAGCAGAAATACTGCATTTAGTTGGGGTGCATGGTTAACTGGTTATATATACCCCACTTCAGCTCTTTGTCCTACACCATGCCCTGATTTAGGAATGCTAAGGTCCACCTGCTAAGCTTTAGCAATATACCCCCAAGCTGTCCTTTCACACCCCACTCGGCTGACTAGTAAATTAGTTCATAACTATAGGCAAATAACTAATGGCAGAGGAAATAATTCACATTTACCGAGGTCTTATTGTATGGTGATTGCTTTATATACTTTACCTCATTCTTATAATATGGCATTATTATCAACAAACTAAAGATGAGGTAAGCTAAGGAACATGAGCAAGTTCAAAAAGGCAGTAAGAGGCAGATGGGGATTTGAATCTGTGTCCCTGTGACTCCAGTGTCCCGTGCCGTCTGACTGGGCTCAACACTGTCTGCGCTCCCTGTGCTCAGCCTTCCTCTCCAGGGAACAGGTGTCCAGGCAATGGGGCCAGCCTGGACTTGGGGACTGGAGGTGGGCCCAGAGATGGGATAAGGCTGCAGAGATGCATGGGACTGTGTCCCAGAGTGAAAAAAAGACTGCAAGGTGGGGAAACTGCTCTCTGAAGAAAGGAAAGGTAGAGATCGGATCAGGACTGTATGTGGCCAGGACCTCCTGCCAGAGCTCAAAGTCTCCTGGTGAGGGGCTGGAATACAAACTCAGACAGGGTCCTAAAGAGAACGTGACCCACAGGTGCTTCCTCTGTCCCTCCCCCACCAGTCCTTCATAGGCTTTAGAACGTATATTCACTGTTGAGAATTAGATAACTTGGATGAATGGAGATCATAAAAATGCCTAAATTCTTATCCCATAGTTAACCACTTGTATTGTGGGTTATTGTAAAATATCTGAACATTTTCTTCTTTGAGAATATTTACATGTAAATATACAGTTAATAAAAAGTCAGACCATACCTTACATACTTTTCAACTTATATACTAGGAAAATCTTTTTTTTAAGTTTTATAGATATAGACCTAATGTTTATAGCATTTCAAAATGTGTGATAAATTTATAGTCGCAGCACCCTTTATGGTTTATAGCATATATTTGTATCTTCTCTCATTTCTCTTGAGCAATCTTGCCAGAACTTATCTACTTAATTATTCTTTTAAAAAAATCAAGCTCTTGGTTTTCTTGCTTTTCTTTGCTCTTTTTTTCCCCAGTCCATTAATTTCTGGATGTATTTATTATTTCTTTTTTTCAATTTTCTTTAAGTTTATGTTCTTGTTCTTTTTCTCTATTCTTGAATCAAACTCTTCTCACATATGCATTTTTACTGTAATTTTTCCATACATCTTCAGCTGCATACCACAGTATTAACATACATTTTTCATTTTCACTTCATTCTGAATATGAATGAGTTCTTCTTTGATTCATCAGTTATTTAAAAAAATATGTTGTACAATTTCCAAATGCACAGAATTCTTTTTATTACTCTGACTTCTAATTTGAATACTTTCTAGTCAGAGCGTGGTCCGTAAGATAATGACCCTTTGATATTGGTTGAGTTTCATGGTTCATTGTCAACATTTTAGAATGTTCCATGCATGCTTTGAAAGATTGTGTATTTCCAGAAACAATTTGGAATTATCTAGTGAAGATAAAAATGTGGACAAACTACAGTCTAGCTATTTATTTTTGGATCGTGGCTCAACTTTGCAGATAAAGCCAGTTGGAGGAGACTGATGAGGATCCTGCCTGATGAGGGTAGAGCTGCTGTTCTAGGCCTGGACCCTTGAACACGGAACACCTTTTATGGGAGAGACAGACAAACTTCCACCTCTTTTAAAACACTATTATTTCAGCTACAAGCAGTTACAT